GCTGGGCACTGCCTCTGAGCAAGGAGGTCCGGGTGGACTCGGCGGGCGCGCCGACCGAGTGGCCCGGGCTGCACGGCCACCGCCGCCCAGCGCCGTCCGAACGCTGCTCAGCTCAGACCTTCCAAAAGTTTCTTGCAACTGGGTAATTCATTAATTAGTAATTAGCGTTTCTGGCTGAAGGGGCTTGGGTGGTTCAGCCTTGCAGGTATGATGACCGCAGTATCCCCAACTTCCGCTCGCGCCATGAGGACATGAAAGCCGAGTGGGGAGAGAAGTGGGGCGATGAGGATTGGGGTGGGGATGGCGAGTGGGACGAGTGGGATGAGGATGGAGACTGGGGCTGGGATGATGGTTGGGGTGCCGACGTCGGATATGGCATCGGATATGGATGGTGATGGCTCAGAAGCCGAGAGCACGAGGATCAACCGCATGCATCAGAGGTCGGTCTTACGAGTAGGGTGGCGGCGACGAGCGACAGGTTGCACGGGAAGCTCCTCCAACATGAACCGGACCCAGACACAGCAGCCAGCAGCTGTGGGCGCGTCGAAGCCCGATGCCGGAAGCCGCCAGAAGGCGCCATGTACATAGATGAAGTGCCAAATGGATGTCCAGTCTGAGTGGTGCTTCTACGCTCGAGCCAAAAAGTTGAAGAAAGCACCGCTGATGTGGACGGCGGACGGGTGATGCATGTGAATATTGAGATCTGTTCAGTTCTGTCGGTTTGTGCTGTGACGCTGTTGCGCCGGGGCTCTCAAGACTCAATATTGCCGTGATAACCCTGCTGCCAACGTGTCAGACTCTCAGACACTCCCATCCCTACACCCGAGTTTTGCTTGCCAAGATCGCCTACGGGTTGTTCGAGCGAAAGAAGATTGATCCTCGGCTGCAGGGAATTTCCCAAGTGACTGTTTGCCTTTGCATGTATGTTGATAAGTTTTGAAGTATGTTATCAAGCTTGAACTGCTGGGATCTGCTGGATTGCCGATAACAGGAAGCGCAGATTTTCAGAGATATCGAGAAGCTCTGGACAGCACCCATCTCAGTGGCCTCATCGTTGGTGTCTTGAGCAAGTGAGCTTTCCACATTTGTGACACTGTGGTCGCGAAGTATGAAGCCGTCCAGGGACCTGGCACCCACATTGGGCACCGGTCGGACTACCATCCACCCTTCGAGCGGGGTGCAGCCCTCTGTACCAGATCTTCATAGATCTCCATCGCCTTGAAATCGGCCTGGTTCCCCCATCCTTGTGGCAGGCACCGTGGTCGGCATCGACGTCGACATGGACGATGGTTGGCTGCCAAGCGCTGGTGTCAATCTAGCGTATTGACCAGAAAGAAGCCCAAGCTATTGCACATCCAACCGCTGTGCCGTGTTGCCAAGGCTCTCTAGCTTTCTGGGCCAATGGCGAGTTCCTGGGTGTCGTCAAAGACAACGAGGCGCTCACTTGCCTAAGGCAAAGGATGATCATCAAACATGTTACTTCCAACCGTTTGTCTTCCGCTGGCAATCTTAAATCCAAAACCTGCAATAACCTGCATTGTTCATTATTGCACATGACAAGATCTGTAAAGTGCAGTCTGGGCTGTTGGATGTCACAGCTCTTCATTTTCGAGCCCTGTTCTCCCGAACGGATGATGGGCATCCCCATTGTGTTTCACCTTTTTGCAGATTCTCAGGACAAGCCTGTCAACCTCAAAGGCAAGAAGATCGTGCCCGGCTGAGTCGACCACATGGACCGGGGTTAAAGTGAGGAGCGTTGAGCCACAGAGAAGTGTGAAGCATTTCGAGTGTGAAACGCTTTAAGTGTAAAACGCCGTCGTCTCAGGTTCCAGCCTTGAGCGTTTTTGGCAGGTGCGGCAGGGTTCTTGCGCTTTTGCACAGCACTTAAGGGCACGCTGGTTTGATAGCATCGTCGGTTCGACGACAGGAACACCGGAAACTACAAGGAAAGCACCATCATGGAGGCGTTGCTATGAGATTGTTGTGAGTATCTGGCTACAGACAGGAAGAGTCGGAAGAGTCCTGAGCAGCCTCTGGGCATCAGTATGCAGTGGCTTTTTATGGCGACGTGCCTGCCAGATTCGGACTGGTCTGGATGCCCCGGCGCGGTCCTGTCTTCAGCACAACTCCTCTGACCAGAACTATACCAAAGCCATGCTGAGCATGTTATGCACTTGACAGTGTTTTCATGAAGGCTCTTCCGTGTTTTGTTGTGTCATTCTTGTTCGCGCTGACGGCCAAGGCCCGGGAAGTGAGCAACGTTCAGAGCAAAGCCGGTCATCCCAACCAACCCTCGCCCAAGCACCCCGAACTTCCCCGAACCATCCCCAAACCCTTTCCTAGCCTTTCTCCGTAGCTTCACAGCGACCAGAGAAGGCCTAGCTGGCTAGGCACACAAATGCAGAGCTATTTCATGGCGCATGACATCTCCGTACATGTCTAAGCCCAACGCCTGAGCAAGCGTCCCCGCGCATCTGTGCACTCTGCTCGGCAGCCAAAAAAGAGATGCGAACACCTGTAGGGACGGTAGTGACTGCAGTTCTTTCCATCCAACTGCTTTGATCGGACCATTCAGTGGCTTCCCTTAGGTGCGTGTGCCCACTGTCCACCACGCAGGATACGGAGGACAGACTGAGCGCGCATGCCTTGAACTTTCTTGATTGGCTGGGAGTGGCGTTCGAGACGCCGAGAATTTTGGAGGATACATGGGCACGGCAGCTCCTGTCGCGCCGCTTTCGCCACTTTCGCCATACCAGGGTGCCTACCACCCGCCGGGAAGGCTCAATCTGTCATAGTATGCAATAGTATGTGCATATTGTGATGGTACAATGAAGCCGCCGCCAGTCCGCTGGCATCTCCTTTCCATGCCAGAGGCCCCGTTTGCCCTTCCCTTGCTCAGTATTCACGGCACATGTGCAAGCTGCTTGCAGGATCCCTCTTTCCACCAATGCCAATGCCAGATGCAGGATATGCACGCAGTGCCGGTGCAAGGCATGCTGGAGATGTAGCAGAATTCCTGAGAGTGTGGAATCACATGCAGCCTGTCCCTGAGTCCTGTTACCGTGCGGGTGAGCCCAGGCCAGGACTCTGAGACATGCTCAATGAAAGCTGCATCGACGCTCACCGTGACTCTTGCAATGTGAACTCGTTTTGTAACACAGGAGCCCCACTCGGGGCTCCGCTATCTCCAGTCGTGGCGTATCCTCGCAGTGTGGGCGGCAGGCGCAGGGCTAAGCGCAGGGAACCGTAAGGGTAAGGCAGACTTTCATAATGATTTTGTTCACGTGGCACAAAGTGATTTGCCCTAAGTCCAATCACTCTACGCGCCAGCAGTCCAACAGGCTGGGGGTTGACTTTTTGCTTCTTTGATGTGAGAAGACTTGTTGCATTTTGTTGCAGTGCGACAGGACCACCTCGACTGCTCACGCCTACCAGCCACTCCGGTTGGCACTTGAAAAGCAAGAGGCCTGCATGCTACATGACTGAGTGACCCAAGGCGCTTCACCTTTGCTAGCAGATCGAAGGAACCAGTGCTGCGTTTATTTGCAGCTGTGAGATCCTTGTTCCTGTATGAAGGCCATGCTGTTTGATCGTTCGATGCTTGCAAAAGTCACCTCAAGGACACTGTCGCCTTCGCCCGCCCAGGATGTGCCTTGCTCAGCAGAGGAGTCTGCGTCATGTCCTAGGCGCCTCGGACCTACGCACGCCATTGGCTGCCATAGTTGTAGCAGGACGTTACGTCTGCTGCTGAGGTTAGGAGAAGCCTGTCCCCGAACTTGTCGCAGCCAGGGTCTTAGCGGCCTCCAGCTGTGCTTCACGGTGCGTCTTTGCAAAAAAACCGCAAACAAAAAGCACTCGAATCACAAAAACGATCCAATTTTGACCGCGGCCGAGGACACGCATTCTGCAACCTGGAGGGATGCTTGCAAAGGCCTCATGTCGCAACCTACCACAATGTGCACACGCGCGCTTTGTGTGCACATGGCGCCTTGCCTGCCTCCGCATGTGCGCTCTGCAGGCAGAGCCGCTTCCCCTGTCGGTGGAGCTCATGCAGGACTTACAGCATCACGGTGGCAGTACAGTGCCCAAGCCTTTTGCTGCAGCTCGCTGGTAGGCCCCTGTGGGGACACGCTTCGTTGTCCCGAAAGGCATGCTCTTGGCACAGGCACCATGTAAGTTCGCGTGAGTTCTCAGTTCATTGGCGGAGATTGGAATTCGCGCCAGTCCGCGTGAGTTTTTCTTTGTCACCCGAGTCTCAGGATGGCACGGCAGGCAGGGATGGCGCGGAGGCAAGTGCGAGGCCACCACGAGGAGAAATCAAGAGCAGATGATCATGTCAATGTAACAGGTTGGCAGAATTTGGCAGAGACTAGAGTGCAGATCAGATCAGATCGGAAGATGCCATGTGAAGGCCCTCACCACTACAGCCGGCCGTGAGCGCATTTCGCCAGCCTCGTGATGGGGACATCTCGAGTGTGTAGGGGGCAACTTCCTTAGGCATGTTAGCCTGCGGAAGACTCTGTATTTGCCGTATCTTTGATAACCTTGGCATGACGCTCTCCTCGAAGTGTGACCCGCAAAAGCCCGACACTGGAGCAAACAAGGAGGCACGGAAGAAGAATAACGGCTCTGCAGGATGGACTTATGGTGCCAGGTCACACTTTCGAGCAGGCACTTCATGCCGGTCATATCGCCTTCAGGGCAGCTCGCAGCAAAAGCCTGACAAATCAAGACGGGGAGCCGGAGTCGTGAGGACTTCCAGTCGTGGCTGTCCAGACTTTGTCGGTTCTCATGATCCCGGCGCTTCGTTTCAGGCTATGCATTTTCAGAAGGCTTCGCCTTGCCGTGCTAGGCCGGTAGATATGTAGATTCTAGATAATGTCTCAGGATTGCTCTCAAAGCGAGGGCGCTGCTTACGTTCTCAGGAGTTGCGAAAAAAGGAGACGTTCAATTCAACTCAGAGGTGTCATCCGTGCCTCCGATGCTGTTCGAGTTTGGAGGCCAAGCAGGCCGTCGACAAGGCTGATTCCGGCAAGCTCTTCATCTCACCAAAGCGAGAAGCCAAGGCAGGGGCTTTTCTTGCACACCCACCTTAAGCTCACACTCCCTGGCGTTCCGGAATTAAAGGATTGCCGCGAAACCCCAAGCCATAAACAGAGCTGCTTGAAGCCGGGTTTTGCCGTTGCCAGAAGCTGGCCACCAAGAAGCAGCGTGAGCTGAAGAAGCTCACTCAGGCTGCAGGGGATATGCTGGCCGCCACCAGCTGTCGGTTCCAAATTTCCCCGGTAGTGAGCTTGGACATTGTCCGGTGCCTTGCAGGCAGACAAGGCAGAAAGCTCGGAAATTGCAAGGACGGAGGGGTATGGGTGCTTTCCGAGACTCCGCAATGTCATACAGCATCATGTAGTGCGAGAATCCTCAATAGAGCATGGCTGCAAGCCGAACACAACTGGCTCTCCAAGTCTTGTTGCAGTGGTCGATTTGAACAGGAACTTGCAAGAGGCAACGAAGGTCAAGAACTCATCGGACTCCCAGGCGCCCTCAGTCGCGAAGCATCGCGAAGTCGCATGGCATTCGTGCGACTTCATGCTCGGAAAGGGTTGACAAGTTGAGCAGTCTTTTGCCTCTGCTGCTGTTCCCGAGGTCGATGTTGTGTTGGACTGCTCCTTTAAAGAGTATGTGAAGTGTGGACGTCTGCCGCACACAAAAGGCCTCCAAAGCTTCCAATAGATTCGGTACTCCTGCGTATTGGGCAACCTTCGAAACCTTGAGCCCCAAACGGAGTGATGGCTGAAGGTTGCAAAAGAGAACTCAATGGCGCAATCTGGCCAGATGCAAATCGCAACCCTGAAACCCAACAGGAGCCATGCCTGGCAGGCTTCGCACATGATCATCCTGCTAATTGAAGGACATGCAAGCTAAGCCCTGAAAGACAAATCGAACCCTTATACTGCAGACCGTAGACCCTTCTGCCCAGCATGCAATTGCACACAGAACAGGGGCACGCGATGCTTCGGTGACGCCTTGCAGGTCAAAGACGCTGCCGCCAAGCTATCCAAGGCTGAGGCGGTTGGATCATGCGTTCTGGTCGTTATATGTCGCAACTCCCCTCACCGCTCATCGCCCCTTTCGACCCTCTTCAACCCGCAGGCAAACCTTGCATCCGAGAAGCAGTCCGAAGATGCCCTACAGGTTCAGATGGGGTTCACATTTGGTGCGTTCGGCTTTTGTGCGTCGGATATCCGACGCCTTGCATGTGAAATCCGCGGTAAGGGCGCACTCAACCAGCTGCAGCCGAAGTTCTTCTTCGGTTTGTTCTGATCCTCACGCGTGAGCTTGGCCACCATGGCCAATGGCGTTTTTGAAGCATCCAGACTTGCAGCTGGGCGTGCTATATTACCGCTAGAGACGAGTATACACAAGCATGGAGTTGAGCGAACTATCAGACTGTTGAACCTTGCAGACGCAATACAAAAAGTCCAGGTCTATAAGACAATAACACTGCGCCGCATTGGCTGAATTGCAAAAGCATTTTTGCGACACTGATGCTAGCAGCTAATGCTGATCCTACACCCTGGAGCTAAGAGGTTCAACACTTTCGTGCAAAATATCTTGGCCTGTTGGATGTGGCTGCGAAGCCAATGACTTTGGCCCAGGCTATGACTTGCGACTGGGAATGCCTCTGCGTTCAGCGCCCACACTCTTGTAACCTCCTACAGTCTTGGCAGTGCGTTATCGTCCTAGACGCCTCAAAGCTGGTGTCCCCCAGTGACAAAGAGGTCAAACGAGGTGCCACAGCAGGGTCGCTGAGGCGAGATTAGCTGTAGAGGCACTCCCTGAAAAAAAATCGATTGTGATAAGAAGAAGTGCTGCAGGGGTTCGGAGCCCCTTTGCACCGCAAGGCAGCAGATTTCAAAGACAGGATTCTCCTTGCCGGCTTTGCAAGAGACGACGGTGAATGTTCAAGTGGTGGTGGAAGGCAGAGCCTGTCATGAAGGATTCTCAGAGTCCGTGTCGGTGCCACAAGTGACTTTTTTCAACCCCGGTGCTGTTTCATGCACCGTGCCGCGCAAGAGACCGGCGCTCCCGCAAAACAAATCGCTTTGGAAGCAGCGTGTCGTATGTGCCATGTGCTGAGTACTCGCCGAGCCCACCCTGGCCCTAATTAGACAGGAGAATCTGGGATGGATCTGCGATTCTCCGCACGCTTGCGCCAATCGCTGGGCTCAAACCATCCATGCGAATTTTGCGGACCAGCAGCCAGAAAAAACGATGTGTTGAGCATTGCCAGAAGAATCAATGCGATGAATAAAATTTGAAGTCGCATGCTGATCCCAGAAAAGTCACGTACCGCTGCGCAGCTTTGCACGGTGGCTTCGCTGATCTTCGCTGTTTGATGGCATCTGAACGCCTGGCCCGACTGGAGTCCATCCGTGGCGGATCTCAGATCTTATTCGCTGTTTAGTGCAAGATAGTGAAAGAGGTGCAAGTTCTGTGCATCACGACATAATACATACACTACCACGACAAAACCGACAAGTCCCCCATGTTTTCGAGGTTCTGGCCTGGCCGCTTTGCATCCGCGGCGGCCATCGGAGGAAAAGGCAGGGCGCAACAATGAGAAAGCCATAGAAAGCCCCCACAGATCGTAGAAATGGCTTACTGAATAGTAAATTGGTAGAAGCCTCGTGGCAGTGGGCGATCCGTGAGGCCTTGTCCGCACGCGAGCGGTTGGAGGCAATACAGCGCCACACGGCTTTCAAGAGGACGTGTTGTGATGTGCCCCACCGTATTGCTGTGTCGCATTGTTGTTTGCCATCCTTGAACGCAGAAAAGTACACCGACATTTCCATAGCGAGATTTCAGCTCTTGTCGCTTCGAGAGCCAAGGAAGGCTCGGATTGCCACTCTCCGGTGATCTGTACACAGAGAAGGCACACACTTCCCTAGCACCAACTGTATGCAACTGTGCACCGGGTCTGGCAGCCTCTCGGGCAGACGCAGAACTTAAGTGGCAGGTGGACGAAGCGGAAGCCAGCGTTCGTGCGGCTTCCTTGTATGATACCTGCGACCTGCGACAAACCGTCCAGTCGGATTTCCTGGACCACGAGCCTTGGTTCCAAAACCTAAGACTGCAACGCGGCATTCTGTGAGCTAGACTGAATACCGCAGGTCCATTCAGGTCCACCAGTGATGGCAGACTTGGGAGGGGGTTGGCTACGGTTGCAGTAGAAGCCACCCCTGGATGGAATGCATCTCAGGAGGCGTGTGAGGTGCCTGCGTTTCATGGCTTGGGGCCGAGCCACGGTCCCCAGGCTGCTCTGAGCTGTGAAGTGATGTTGGGAGAGGCAGGGACCAAGGAGTGTTTTGGTATCCAGAGAGTGTATTCAGGGTGTTCAGGTTTAGGGCCTCTAGGATTCTAGGGTTCATGCGAACTCGTCCAGCACTCAGGTCTTGGAGAAAGCTTCAAAGCCAAGGTGCTTCACTGCAAGTTTGTTTCGTGATAGAATGTTTTGCTTCATACGTATCAGGAAATGGCATAGATGTACGCTTGAGGAAGGCTCTTCGGCCAAAATGACATGCGCTTCGGGATGGGTATTCGCGCACCATAGCGCTCAGCTTGCCATAGTGCTGTGCTCGGATAGCATGTTTCTACTGCATGGAATCCCCAAACACTGTTTAAACATTGTCTTCTCCAAACATCTTCCCGCACGGTCCCACGCTGTCGCTACTCATCTTCTTTCTGTGGTCGGTCAAACGCTCGTGTCCAGCTCGGCTCGTATCTGTCTACACCAGTCAATTCCGAACAGGCTGCCGAGACCACGGCTGCTGCCCAGATCCCGCCACCAAGGACTTTTTTTCGGCACATGCCCACCAGCATGTCCATGCATCCATCGGCCAAACGGTGTTCCGTGCGCATTTCCAGGAGCCTGCAGCGGCCAGCTTCGCCTTCGCACTCCCCAAGATCCCCTCCAACCCCGCCTGTGGCACCTTGCGAGGGTGAGGACTGGCCTTGGAACTTCGGCTGCCTTTCGCAGCCCTCGTGGCCCTCGCGTCCGGCAAGGAGTGTCGGACACACCCATTGGCCCAGCGCCGCTCCAGCACCGAGCACTCCGAGAACGCCGAGCGTGCCCAGCGTGCCCAGCGTGCCCAGCGTGCCGAGAGCACCGAGCACGCCGAGCGCGCCGAGCGCGCGACGGGCGATGCCCACACTGGACAACCGGGACAAGCAAGAGCCCCTGGAGGAGCGGAGCCAGCGCAGCGAGCAGAGCCAGGGCGAGCAGCAGAGCTGGGGTGAGCAGCAGAGCCAGGGCGAGCAGCAGAGCCAAGAGCTTTCGGCGCCCTCGGCACCCAAGCTGCCATTTCGCGTGGGAATTGGAACGCCAAGACCGACTTCCGGAAGAGGAAGGCGCAGAAGTTCAAGCTCGAGGCCTCCATCTGCGCCGTCCTTTGTTCGGCCCTTCTCTGTGGATGACTTCTGCCTGTCTGGACGAGGCGTGGGCGGTGTTCAGAAGGTTAGCACGGAGATGGGTGCGAGGCCATCGAACAGTCGACAAGGTGATCGACAAGGTGGTACGCTTCGGGCTCCGCAGCGTGCGGGAACGGGAAGTGCTACCTCGAAGCCTTCGGCGAGACATGACGGCACACCTGGCACACCGTCCGAACAGCGCGCCGGCCCAGATTGCCCTCGTGACTCTGAAGGCTCACGCACCTTGCACTATTTTGGGAGCTCTGGTTTCTAGCTGAATTCTAGAAATTCGGATGGAGAATCCAAATCGACGCCCAGTACAAGCCTCTTTGAGGGCCTTGAAAGCGTCTCTTGCAGTTACGTCGAGCTCAGCCCCTCGAAGCCTGGAGCTGCCAACATCTTCAACTTGACATGAACCCAGCAACTCTTTGTATCTCCACACCCCCAAGCCCTTGATAAGCCCCAGAACCTGATGTAGCCCTCGGCTTGTTTGAAGGTTTCGGGTTCTAGGGTTTCGTGGCACATCCCGGCAGCCTGACACAAGCAGCATGCTAGCTGCAGCGAGACGCCGCTGGATAGAATGCTACAGAAGTCAAGGCTTCGTGCATCACGTCATCGGCCCTGCCAGCTCCCAGTCAAGGTCCTCGAGCCGATGGCCCAGCGAAGCTGAAAATGCGGGGCTCGAAGGAAGCTTCCGCTCCTGACCCAGCTTCAGAATGGTCAGAGACGGCCGCTGAGTTGCAAGTCCAGCTTGGCATCGCAACCTAATTCCCGAGCAGGGTTTACTGTTGTGGAACACTGCCCAGCCTTCGGTAGCCTGAGGAGGACCTCTGGCAATCTATGGAGCTGAAGGCAAGGGGTTTCTCGTGCTTGGCTTGTGTTGCGCCTCTATACCTTTTGATGCCTTTCGAACTCCTCCTGGTCGATCCTCAGGGTTTTCTGACATCTCGGATTGTGCAGACGATAGGTTTGAAACATCAAGGCTTCTGGAGTTTGAAGGAAGGCTTGGCCTCCCTTACTGCGGCTTCTCAAACTCTTCGCAGAACGAGCTCTTTGCAGCTTCTATAAAACCACAGCTGTGGTGCCGAAGCTCAGCTGATCTCTCTCCCTCTCTCTCTCTCTCGCTCTCTCGCTCTCTCTCTCTCTCTCTCTCCACTCTCTCTCTCTCTCTCCCTCCCTCTCTCTCTCCACTCTCTGAAAAACAGTTAGAGTGGCTTTGCCTTTGCCTTATGTAGCACTCTTTCGATGGTGTCCATCAAAGAAGCGACACTTTACTGCCGGAACAGCTGCCGAAGAAAGCGCTGCTGCCCGAATTAGGCTGAGAGGCTGCCAATTCCATTCCGCAGCTCGGGTTTTGTTTTAGTTTTTAGGGCTCAGTGCCACTTTCCTGCCTGTCTCCCTTGCCAAATGCCAAATTCCTTCGCTGCTTTTTTCCATAGTTCTCTCCCAGGGAACATCGTGCTAATCCCCTCGCCATCCATTCTGTTCCATGTGGGCCATCGTCACATCGGCAGGTGTTCTTACGACGAGCAGATTTGGTCGACTTGCTCGGCGTTCTGAGACTCTCTCCTGAACTCTTTGTGGGCTTACGGCTCAAGACCGTGCATGCCAGAACGTCTTAACTGTTCTGATACACGCAGCGTTGCATCGGCACTTTCCCCGTTAAGGAGAGCACTTCCCCGGCTTGAGCTTGAAGTCACTGCTGGAGATGCCGGAAGCGCAGGTCAAGAAGATCAAGGCTGCGTCTTCCTCTGAGCACTTGCAGATATTTACAGACTTCAGCTTTCACATGCTTTCGTGGAACACGATCTGTGCAGAGGCGCGGCCGCTGGCTTTGAAGAGGCTTCTACGAGGCATCGAGGCAGAGCGTCAGCGGCGAGGAGCGCTGATGCAGCCATCTTCTCTCGACTTTCGCCGAGATTTGGTGGTGGAGTCTGCAGGGTCTGAAGGAAGTCGCTTCAGTGTTTCAGAGATTCTCAGAGCATGTGAAGGCACTTGAGGTTGTGTCGGGCCGTTCCTGAGATCGGATCGTTACAGAAGCCTGGTATCGCGCAAGGTATCGTTCGGTGTGCAGTTGCCTTCAGAATGCAGCACGATGGAATCTGCACGAGCATAAGGGGCACCCCCCCCCCCCCCCTTCCCCCCACAGGCTAAGGCAGCTAAGGCAGGGAACATTTCTGCATGTTTCGGCAGGGTCTCTTGACATAGAACCCGCGTGGAACCAGCAATATTCTGTTTCCTTGGTGCACTGAAAGATGCGCCTGCCTTTGTTGATGAGACTCAGTCAAGGATGACTTGAGCACGGCGACGCCCACCCCGGAGAGAATGCGGCCGGGGCGAGAAGCCATCGAAACATCTGAGAAAGCTCCGAATGAAGCTTCGAATGACGCCAAAGGTGGAAGCGAAGTTGGAAGTGAAGGCAGAGGCCACCAGGCTGAAGAGGAGAATGAGGTTTGTCCGGCTTGCTCCGACTCCCGTGAGTCTGCCTCGCAGATGGTGGCCCGGATGCTTTCGGACCCTGCGGATCCAGTCCCGGACCAAGAGCATCGGAGCCTCGATGAGCGATCTGAGCCGCTGGCAGATCAAGAGCTCCAGGCGCACGAGTTGCACCCGATAGCTACATGTCAGCTAAAGCTGCCCCTGCTGCTACTGCTGCTACTACCACCACCACTACTACCACCACTACTATTATACTGTTGTTTCCACTGCTACTGCTGTGGCACGAGTTCTACTGCTGCTAGTACTGCGACTACGACGACGACTGCCATCACCTGGTGCATAGAACATGGGTGCACGTTGACGACATGCTCTTCCTTTACGCCAAAATCGGGCCCAGCCGCTCTTCGAAAGCACACAGCTCTTCGCTTGGTTTGCGAATCTAGCAAGGTTTGGAGTCGAGAGTTTGCGATTTTTGGTAAGAAAACGTGGACAGGCGGACTCGCAGTGATTAGCACAAAATGTTTATTCTGGTTCGGCCGATTCGGATCGTGTCTCTTGAGTCCCTTGTGACAGTTCTGTGCGGTTTTGCTAATGCACCTATTTGACGGTGCAGCCGGCTTGCAACGTTCCTGCTCCGGTAGCAATTCAGCCGTGGCTTCGCCAGATTCCCTGAACTTGTGCTGCCCTCCCCGTCCGAAAGCTTGACTCTTTGTCAGCCAAACGGTCTTTCAGATGCTCTTCAGCCTACCCTGTGCCCGCTTCCGCTTACACACGATTTTGCACTCCGAGTCTGGCAGGCGGAGGCACCCGCTGGCTCGAGCTCTTCTTCGCGCTTGCCAGTGGCTGCGCACCCAAGCGCAAGTCCAGTCGGCCCTTGGAGGGATCTCTACAAGGGAGTGGCGAGGTTCAGACCGGCCGAGGTCACGGAGCCGGCGGGGCCCCTGTCGCAGAGCTCAACAGCAGACTCTGCAAGCGAGGCCTCTCAGAACTCGAAGCAGGCAGGATCGGGGTCCGGCGAGTCTGTGGGATCCATGCCCGAAGGGCAGGGCTACCCGGGCTACTCGCAGTCGGAACGGCTTGTGACTGGGGCTTGTGGGGCTGACGTGGCTCCAAGCGTTCTGGCAGTGGAGAGGGAATGCCGTTCCAGGCCGCAAACGCGGCGGGCCCGTATTCGTGAGCTGCTGAAGCGCCTGGAGGTAGCTCAGTCACCGTGCCCTGCAGATCGGCTGCGTGTGGATGCTCGGCAGAAGCAGGCCAAAGAGAGACACCTGCGCCAGACATCCGGTGCTCCTGCTGGGCCGGCCTCGTCGCCTGCTCTTTCACTGAGGAGGTCTCGATCTTTCATGGAGTTGGTGGCAACTGAGTCGGAGCCGCAGTTCTCCAGCAGTCGAAGCGGCCCAGTCGATCCAAGCGTGTTGGAAGATGTGGTGTCAAGACTTCCCGCAAAGCCGGTGACGTCCAGCGCACCCCGTGAGCCATGCACCATCTGCTTGGAAGTGCCCTCTTCAGGCCCGAGACGCTGTTCTGCGAGATCCTGCACAGTGTTCCTAGCACGTAGCTTTAGCCTCTAATCATCTAATCATAATCTCAATAAGGCCACCTCTTCGTTTCATGATGAACCTGCCAGGCGAAGTCGTCACCACCCTACTCTGCTGCCACTGGTACCACACAGAATGTATCAAGGAGACTTCGCTGCAAGATGGTTAAAATGCCAACCAATACGCATTGCAACCATGGTGTGTGTTGTAAGTGGTTGGCGCACCGGCCGTAGTAAGGACAGCAACAGTGATCCTTTCATGATCATTATTAGTTGTAAGTAGCAATGCTAGTATTGTATTTCTTCCACCTTTTGTCTACATATGAGTTGATGGGTCGTGCATATTGTTTGCTGCTCAGGAGTGGCTACTGCATTCCCGCATATGTCCGTTGTGCAAGGCGCTTGTAGTGCCGGAGGAACTCGGTATGTGACCTATTTGCCGTTTCGGCGTGTGAGGTCATCTTTCTGCAATGGGGAGTCCCAAACATGGGGACTCTCCTTGCTCGATAACGACTTGTAGCAATAGGATCTTCGTGCATGGCCCCCTGGCAGTGAGCCAGACCTGTAGAACATCTTTGTCATGTCTGCATCCCGGTTACAAAGGTCTGTGTTGGCCGCGCTGTGCGACTATGAGCTTCTGAATGCTAGATATATAGATGTATATGGCCGCGTGCCAATATGAATTGCTTGTAACAGGGCCGCGGCCCACACACGCGACATACCCCCTGCCCAAATTATTGCGACGGAAACGACGGAAAAATTGAAATTAAGAAAATTAGCGATGCAACGACGGAAAAAATAGCAGGAAATAAGCCTGACAAGCACATACCCTGAACCCTAAACCTCGAAGCGTCCTTGGAGGGGGGTGTTGGTGGGTTGATTGCCTACTTCGATTGGTTGAGGTTTGGGGGGCACCCATCCCGCCCGTCCTGGCCAGGGCCCATTGCTTGGGGGCTGCCCCGAAACATTTTTGGGTTTGGGGTGGGGCGGGGGGAGGGTAGCGGGGGGAGGGTAGGGGAAGGGGGCAGGGGGGGGGGCAGGGGGGGGGCAGGGGGGGGGCGCACGAATTAGCGCAACTTTGTCCCGAACGAACTAGCGTCCAGTTTGCGCGAGTTCAATTTTGGGGTTTGGGGGTCGGGGGGAGGGAAGGGGGGGAGGGTAGGGTGGGGAGGGTAGGGGGGGGAGGGTTAGAGGGGGCGGGGCAGGGAGGGGGGGGAACGGATTGGCCGCAACTTGTCCCAAACGAATTGGCGGGAGGGGGGTGGGGGGGCGAATTGGTGCCCAAGAATTAGCGGCTAATTCGCGGCGAATTTAATTTGTGGGGGGGGGGGGGGGGGCGGGCGGATTAGCGGCTGATTCGTTTGTGGCTGTGTACAGTTGTGTGGGCATGTGATTCAATGTGATTAGGCAGTGTGCGTTAAATGGGCCACTTCCTCTGTAGCGACACGGGCAAGGCGTTGACTTCAGAAGCGAAGGTTCGCGTTTCGAATCCCCCTCACCAAATCGCGAATTAGCTGCTAATTCGCTCGCGCATTAGCGGCTAATTCGCAAATTCCTGCGTGAACCCGCCTGTGTTCAGGGGTGTTGGAGCAGCAATGAATCATTTGGTTTGAGTTTTGCTGGTGCTACGAGGCTAAACTGTAACCGAACGAATTAGCAGCTAATTCGCTTGGTTTTGTTTTCTGCTGGTTGGCACTACAATCAACCCAAGCTTGCCCAGCAAGCGGCGGTCCGGGGGGGGGGGGGGGGGGGGGGGGGTGAACCGAACGAAATAGCAGCTAATTCGCTTGGTTTGATTTTTGTTGGTGCTAGGAGGCCAAACAACCTTTTGACCTAACTCGTTGCGACGAGCCTAAACTGCGAACCGAACGAATTAGCAGCTAATCACTGGGCGATCGAGGCTCAACCGTGGAGGGGTGACCGAAAAAAATAGCAGCTAATTCGTTTGGTTTGATTTTTGCTGGGAGGAAAGGTGTGGGGTGAAGTGAAGCAATAGTCCATTAACAATAGCAGACAAATTAGCAGCTAAGTTCACTTGGTTGAGGTTAGGGGGCAGAAGGCAACGAACCAGAATGAATCGGCAGCTAACTCGCTTGGGTGGCTCATTCGCTTGGGGGGTGAGTTTCCTGCCTTTTGTTCTTTAGGCGTGCGACGGAACCAAATTAGCGAGATTTAGCTGCGACGTAAAAGCGGAATAAAGGTATCGAGTTTAGATTTAGCGACGACGGAAAATCCAAAACAATTAGTGTGAATTATTATAAATTGTGCAGATACCCCGTTACAGAGGGTATGTATCAATGGCCGGGATTTTGCGATAGACCTGTTTGTTGTTGTCTGCAGGTTCCAAGTCTTGCTTATCGGGGGGTAAGTGTTCGTTCACGAAGCAAATATATGTATCCCTGAATTTGAAACCCCTTAAACTCTTAAAGGCTGAGTATGTGGAGTGGTTCCAAGTCTTGCTTATCGGTTCGTAAATTTCAAGAAGCTGTGAGGGTTCCAGGACTTGCTTGTCGCGGCCAACCCCACTCAGTCCTCAATAGGGGGACTCTCTAGGCTTTAGGCAGAAGCCTGAAACCCGAAATTCCCGAACATCTGTGTTCATGCCTCCCGGCGCGCGACATACCCCGTTACAAGTGCGTTACATACCCGCGACAGACCAAACACAGACTATTGCGACATCTGCGTAAGCAACGTGCGCCCCAAATAGACGCATTATCGTCCTACCCCATATATATGTACACGTAGGTATCGCAACCCACATGCATCTGAGGCTATCTTTCTGAATGATCCAGTGCTGACATCAGGACCTAGAAGGGTTGGTGGAACACGAGCTGACATCGCACCTTTTTCTGCCACAACCAACAGAGTACCATGGTTGAAAGACCTGCCACTCAAGCCGGCCTCTTGGCTGGTGGACACGTTCGCGATGCTCGTAGTCTTCTGCTCAGGAGCATGGCGCAAGTTGCCCTCATCGTCCGTAGGGCTTTAAGCCTTAGATGGGGGCATCCTCAAACACCGACCTCCCTGGAAACCTCGGATAAGGCCTTGTGAAGATGTGAGGTTGCTTTATATTGTAGGGACATTCTTCGGAGGGGCTTAGATGCAAGTTGGATGCCAACGCAGCTGTTGCGCTTCAAGAGGTACGATCCCAACAACCCGAAGCCATGAATACAAGTCCACGGTCTCCGTCCCAGAATTTAAAGAGGAACCCTTACAATGTCACAACGACTGACGTTCACTGATTTACCTACTGGGGCCGAAGCTTTGACTCAGGCTGCTCCACTACTACAGTTGGCCCGTGGAGTCTTCTAGACCCTTAGACGTATTGCAACATAGCTGAGACTCTCTGAGTAGCTCATGCGTTGCTTTCAATTCTTCTGCAATGCTCTGTGTTCGCCTTCGTCGTCGTCAGCTCCACGCGCGAAGGTCACATTTCAGGAGCCTCAGCCTTCGAGATTCAAGAGCCCCCATGGGTGTTGCGACGAGGGTGCTGGCTGCTCAGGAGCAGGCTGACGTTCGACATGAGCCTGAGACTGAGAAGGAGCCGGATGAGGAGGAGCTGGGTTGCCCTCTGAAGCAACGCCGGTGAAGAACGCTGTCCCTGGCATGTCTGTGCGCCCTTTGGGAATAGAATAGTGGTGCATAGCCTGCGTCAGGCGCCCGCCTCCTTAAAGGACCGGCTACTACAAAGACGCTTCGCTTCACGCTACTGCAGCAGCTGTACACAGTATCCGTAACTTCCAATCTGGCCTGGTCCTTCCTTTGCAGCAGCGTGCCAAGGATTGACGCGCATGAACACGCAAGAGCTGCTTCACAGGGTGCGTGGCTGAGCGATGACTCCTGCAATATCCTCTGATTCGCTGCGCTATGTTTCTGTGTTATCTTTGTTTTTGCAGATACGCCGAAACATCAGCTCCTTCTCGGCTGCTTGGCACCTGATGGGTGGCCACCGCTCCGCGTTGTAGCTCATGAGTCGTTTGCGAGTCTTTTGTTCCTGACCTGCCCGGTGGGTCGAGCGGTCAGCTGGCTTCACACATGCACGGTAAGGTCAACGATCTTGAAGATTTATCCTGGGACTGGGAGGATATCTCTACAGAGCCCGACGTTGCCTTCGCAGTGGTGGAGCTCAAAGAGCAGCTCGGACTTGCCATATTCTGTTGCCAGCCCATGCCAGGCCCCTCGTTGTTTTCAATCTTTTTCAATGCTCTTTGTAAGCACGTCTCAGGTTTCTCACCGAGTGGCAAGAAGCTGATACCGACAACTTTTGGCAGCGCAAGTCCCACAAGGCTAATGCAAGCTTGTCAGCTCGTCAGCAGCTTGCCAGCAGCTGGTCTTGTTGGAGTCGAAGAGGTGGTGCTGGCTGTCGTGGTCTGTGCCAGAGATGATGGCTCGCTAGTGGCGATGCGCGGGATGAACACGGAGGCCCCTTTTGCCTTTCACTGCATGAACCCTCACAAACAGCCTAAACAACTCTAAGCTCTCCAACTTCTCCAACCCCAAACCACCTCAGCACTTGTCAGGTCAGCTTGCCCTCCGGCTCGCTCTGCGCAGAGCGTGCAGGGATCGCGCGAGCTGCGACGGAACTCTTCCGCGCGGACGCCATCAAGGCTTGCGTCCCCCCCAGACCCGGAGCAGAAACCGTGCTCTGGGAGTCTCAGGCCATTGCGGTCATCGATCCATCGGGTGACATCGCACCTCTCTGGCCCTGCGAGGCACAGACAATGGAGAGTTGAGGGGCTGGGGCCGGCTGGGGTTTCCTGATCCTCAATGCACGGCGACTCGCCCCCCTGAATCCTTTGAATCCAGGTGTGCCAGAGTTGGCTCTCCAAGCTTCGTGAGCAAAGCCCGAGGACCGGCTGTTGAGCTTGTGTTTGGTGGATTTGCTGCGATTTGCAACACATGAGACAACGTGAGACAACGAGAGATTCTGCGTAGGATCACCGTGGTGGCGTTCCCCAACAAAGACCACGACTTTCAGCGCATCGTGGTGCGCCGTAATGGCAAGGACGTGCGGCCGCCCACGTCCGTCAGCACGTGAGCGACTGAACTACTTCCCTCGATGCGTTTAACATCGCACATCCCGCATGATTAAAGTATGTTCATATATGCTCTTGGACTGAGGCGTACTAGCCTGAAGGGGGTCGAGAAGGCTTGATTTCGCAAGTGAGAACCCGATGCCAATGCTGCATTGGGACTGTAGGTCATGTGTAGATACAGTGTAGTTGCTGTTTTTCCTTGTCTTGAACTACTGAGTAGTTCAGTGGAGAGTAGCTCGGCCCAACTTTGCGTGAGTGCAACCTTAGGTCCTTAAGTCCAAAACGCTGAATGCTCGAGGGCAGTGCAGCAACTTAGAGTTTTGAATCGAGCCATTCCCGAGAAACATCCTGAGACCCAACTCAAAAACTTCAACTTTGGGCGTGCTGGCGCATGTTCCTGAGGGCATTAAAGATTGAGCCGTTTGAGTCTGGGATTTCCTGCGCTATGTGATATACCGCAAATGCACGTGCCGAGCTGCGGGCTTCGGAGGGGTCCTTAGCTGGGCCGAGAGCTCTCCGAAGGTGGCCGAGTCGCTTGGGCACAGTTGTTCGCTTCAATGGGGCGGGGGGGGGGGGGGGGTTCCGAATGTTTTAGCAGGAGGCGGTTCTTTTTGTTTTTTAAAGGGGGGTGCTGCTACATTTGGGGTTGCAGAGGACGACCGTAGCGAGACAGTGCACAGCTCATGCCACAGGAAGCACTTACTGCTGGGTCTTTGCGCTTTAAGGTGATAGCTTTGGAAAATTCGCCACACTGTGTATCCGAAGTTATCCGGGTAATTGAAGTCAGGTTGAAGTGAATCTCTGTCGTCGGCTCAGGTCATGGCTCCGCTGCCCGGGGTGCACCCAGGATCGGAGCGCGAACGAGCGAAGCACCGGAAATCGATGGGGACTCCTTTTTTTGAAGGTTGGAAGTTGGAAGGTTTGCGAGCCGACTCCCGTTCTTGTCAGGCGTCCTGCCGCGCAGCTTGGGTGCTGACCTCAGAACTCTCAGGGCATGACTGGGGGCGAAGTGTGGGGAAATCGTGCCTCAAGATGCCGGAAAAGCATGCTTAGCTGTACTTGCCGAGGAGAGGACCCTGTGCTGTCGGCTTTGCAGCGCTATCGTGAAGCGGCAGGCAGCACCTTCCACCCTCTCAGCGAGGCCCCCCTGGGGGCGAATCTTGGCGCTGCGAGTCGAGGGCCAAACCGGCCTTATTTTCGATCTGCCCCAATGTGCAGGTCGAAGAACCAGATGAGCAGGTTCTGTGGGGGTGCATGCTGGATTCACTGGAAGGACTAGAACACTAGAATGACTGGAGCATACGCAGAATATGCAGAGTCTTTGCACCTGCTGTCAGGCTCCGTTTGATGACCTGGCAACGCAGAGGCGGACGGGCTGGTGGGCTCTTTTTGACGTGGGCACGCGCAGTTAATGACAGGAGCAACTTGCAAGCTGCTGGGTTCACTGGGTTGTGTCTGGGGTCAGAAGGCAGCAGCATAGGAGTACAGGAACACTGCAGCGGACACCTCGCCGAATAGCCCTGAACTGTCTGCAATGGGTTCCTTGACAGCCTGGCCTGGTGACATGTCCGCTCCGTTGCAAAGCATGCGGGCGTGGCTACAGGTTTGCTGTCCGCTCCAGTCCATCCGCCAGCTCGACTTCCAACGGCAGTCCCAAGGCAAGGCACACTGGCGACACTTGCGGTGAACAGCGAACTTCACCTAGCAATCAAGATGGCCCACGGTAAGCAACTTTTTGAAGCATGCTTTGGACGAGAGAATTCACATCTCATGCTGTCAGTGTGGCCTTCGTCCTCCTGTACTGCCGTCCGAGTTCCACGTCCTGGAGGAAGATTGAGACATTTAGGATGCTGTGAGGGCGGGAGGATGCAGGAGCCTTGAACTGCACCCGAGGAGGACGTCCGCCAAGCGGTCGTGGCCTCAGCAGCAAGTACAGTGCAAGTACTGTAGGAACTCAGATATAGTAGTTTCAGGATGTTCTAGGATGTTCTAGGGCTCCAGAGCCTCAGAGCCACTGATGTGGGCTGACTCACGCAGCTGACCATCCTTGCAGATCTGCGGTTTCGGAGCCCACGGTGACTGGCGAGATGTGTTGCCAACCTGGCTGAGCTGGACGCCTTGTAAGAATGTAGCGGGGGCTTAGAGCTGGACAGCTGGACAGCAGCCGGGGTGAGTTTGCAGCAAACGCAGGATGAATCCATGGTTGGAGCCCACGGCGTGCAGATCTTGGCATGCACATCGCTGATCACAAGATACAACAAGACTACCATCTTCTACAGTAACAAGCTAGTAATAAGCAAGAGCAACATCTTAACAAGTCAACGGAAGGCCTGACCTTTGTGGCGGGCTTCCTAAAGGGCCGAGCGGGTGGCGGGCTCGGCGAAGCACCAGCTCACCAGCTAGCAATGTTCAACATATGCCAAGTTGCTATGCTGGCTACTCATGCAGATCTCTGAAGCTTCCTTGATTGCTTACTTAGTAGACGGCCTTGGTCTTGCACAGTGGTCTGCAGTTTCCTGAGATCCGGTGTCAGGCACTTTGCCAGCGGAGGCAGTATGCTCTGGCCTTTGCCTGTATAATTGTCATTTGAGCCCACTTGGACATTGTTCCTCATGAGATGGTGTTTTGATGCTTGTGCACTTCTCGAGCTTCAGGACAATGGTCGAAAGTCCAAGATTCGCCAAAGAGGCCAACACATCAGAAAGTAAATGCGTCTGGCAGATTGCAGGGCCCGAGTGACAGGCAGAAGAGCGCATCACCTCTGAACTTGTGACGTCTTCCTCATCAGGCATCGGTACGCTGGTACGTCGTACTTTTTGCACACCTTTTTCTTTGCAGTAGAGTCGAGTCCTTTCTGAGCTGTTGACACATCTCAGGTATCAAACATGCGGGACTACCTTCGCCACCGACTTCACAGGTGGGCCGTCCGGCTTTCGCATGTGCTGTGGGCTGCGACCCTCCGTGCGCTCTGGGCTGTCGGACCCCTGACCACCCCCAAAACCGAAGCTCAACCTTATCAATAAAGTGTATGCTCAGACAAGATTCCTTCTGCATCCTCCGAGGTTTTGCAAGTCCCGATCAACACATAAACTTGGAAGATGTTTCTTGTTAAGTGACCGCGCAAATTTGCCCAAGTGTCAGGTGACCAAAGATGGGTTGACCCGGCCGCGTGTTCGCAGAGCCTTGGAGGCTGTCAAGTCATGCTCACATGACCTTCGAACTAATTCGAACCATGAGGGCCACGTAGGGCCGCTACTTGGACACTACTGTATTCGAAGGGCCAGCCAGCTCAACTTTTAGTCTTCGGCAGACGTCTCGAGGCCATCCGCGAGCTTCCTGATGGCTTACGCCCATGGCTCAGAGATGCTCGGAGCCACTGTCGGCCACGTCGGTAACGCATCTGGTTCCTTCGGACGAGGATCGAGCGTCTTTGACGACCTGGTGATTCCGGAAGGAGTCGAACAAGTTGCAACTGAGCTGAATTTATGATTAGAGGAGTTCTCCCAGACATGGAGAAGAATTAGTGCTGAGTGATTCCGTGTGATGATGTCGCGCAAGGTGCTTGGGCCTTTGCCAGACTGTGCGGAGGAAGGGCACGAGCCCTGGTGACACAGCATACGTACAATGCACGCTTTGCTGATGGTGAGAACCTTCTGAAAATTTCAATTAGCCGAGCAGTGCTGAGGCTCGAGATTGGGGAAGCCTTTGCTGACTATTCGGAGGGTTGGGGCTTGGGCAAGGTCTGCAGCGCCCTCAGGGGGTCCGCCCAGCGGCCCAGCGCCATGGTACTGTGTGCGCATGTCTCTCCTGCTTTTTTTCTGGAGGTCAAGGCCGAGTCGGGGAGACCGCGGCGCTCGTGGTGCAGCTGCGCCCGGAGCTGAAGATGCTCCCAACATATGCACCTAAATGATACATCGTGATAGAACTTGCGGTGCATCACAAGAGGGAAGGTGAATGCACAGTATGCATGAAGGCCTGCCGAAGCCCTTGAACAGTGGGCAGCTGCGGCGGCTAGGCTTGTCCCGATTCTGGTAGATTGTAGATGGGTGTGGAATGTGGTCACGTGCAGATGGTTCTGAAAGGCTGGCATGGACCAACAACTGACCTTGCCAGCGTGAGGTGCACTGCTCCGGCGAGGGGCCGTCGAAGCATCTCCCCGCTCTGCCATGGCCTTTGTGGGCGCTTCATGGCGGGACGTTCGTAAGTTAAGTTGCGTAGTCAGATTGCGGCCAGGATTTGGTTCGACCCATCGGGGCGGTGATGCCTGGCGCCGGCCTCGTCGGATTTCCGAGAGTTGGGCTCTGTGTGTTGGCAAAGTTTTGCTCCCGATGGCTCGAGTCCCAGGTGATGGCTCAGCCGGTGCTGGCTGCCCAGAGACAGCTTTGGACTTCCGACACTGTACTATGTAGTACATATGTAGTAGTATGGGCCATGTGGAGCTTGTCGCACGCTCGCATGATCCACAAATAAAATGTCCTAAGTCCGACGCCCCCCTCCCTTCAAACACAGCATCCTAAGCTCAATCTTCACCTGCTGAACGCCCGGCTTTCTGAGGTTTGGATCGCTTGGGAGCGGCCTGGAGGCCGGTTGGCTCCAAAAGACTCACCTGGCAGCCGCTGCTCTGTGTTCTGACTTGAAGTAGGGGCTCTCTCTTGTGAGGGACTCTTGTTGGAACAAAGCAGGAAGCTGCAGCACCATTTCGCCACTGCCCATCGACCTGAAACAGGAACCCACGCGTGGTGCGCGCCTTGGGTCCTTAGAAACATTAAATCACACCACTTCGAGTTCAGACTTTCATTAGAGCTTTGGGTCCGAGATGGGCTGTGGGTCTCGTTTGGGGTTTAGATGCCTTGAGCCCTCCAATTTCATTTACCTATCAGAATCTTTTCATCGGTGCCCTGGATACCCCCTCGGGGCTTTGATTCAGTCCGAGTCTCCGAGGCCTCTCCTGGCGCCTCTCTGTCGCACGGCAACTCTGCCTCGCGGTGGATGCTCTGCACAGGTCGAGGAAAGAGACCGTGTTCATATTCGGGCAAGTTGGCGGTTTTCGTTTTTGCTCTTCCATACAGCGGCTGCTGGAGGTCGGGAAAAGTCCACGGAAGCTTATCCCCGCGAAACGTCTTGGTGGCGTCCTCATTGGCTGGGAAGGGAGAAGGTGACCTTTGCTTGGAATGGATCCTAGTTTTGGCTCTTCAAGGTTGCGACCACGGGCGACGTGTCCATTCTAGAAGCAGGGCTCGTGGACGCGCTGCTGGAGGTTGGGTTTTCTTTTTCAGCCAGTCCCCGGATAGCTCCGGAAGCTCGGGCAGGTGGATGCCTTGCGTGAGCACGACCTCCTGGGCGCCTTAGGCTTGCAGTTCGCCCGCTACACTGCCCCTGAGGCGTCTGGGAGAAGTTGCGTCGGGGTTTCGGGGTGGGGAGGTCGCACCCAAGGATAGCCGAGGAACTTAGTACTCCCACGGGGTCGCGCTTGCTCGGGGGTTTTGTGAGCTTTCTCTTGTCCAAGATGTCGTGCCAAGAGGCGTCTTCTTGGCTTGCCGTGCTGACGTGATGAGTTGTACTAGCAGCGCGTAGTACAAAAAAGATGCGGAGTTGTCATTTAGGTCTTCGTCTGCGTTCCCACGTGGCTGGGTTTCAGCAGTCCAGGTATGTAAAAGGCCCCGACCGTACTTTCGCGACCCGAAAATCAACAGTTTCAGTTTCTTTTCGACCCACTCGACGACAAGCAGATGGGGCCCCCGCGACATAGCGCTACTTTGATTCACAGCCAATGATGGTCGTGGTCGCCGCTGCTGCTGCCGCCTGTGCTGGTACGGTAAGTGGTGCTATATTGTTTGCTCTCTGGCAGCTCGATGACACAGTCATGTTTTCAGCTCGCTTCTGGGGCAGTCATGGCCGCCTCGACAAGTCGATAATGTCTGCACGGGGTATTCGACAATGTTGTTTCTTCGCTCCTCTTCTGCCACAAAAATGTCTGCACCCGCACTTTCGCACCTGAGACAAACTTGCTGTGATGGTCACATAATTCACATAATCATAATCTGTGAGAGTTGTTGAGCCTGGCTCCACCAGGGATGGCATGTCCCTCGCAGCGGTGGATCGGCAGCCGACATCTTCGCCCTGGGCCTCATCCTGCTTGAGGCACGTTGCCCCTCTGGTGGACTACCACATACTATCAAGGACATATGGCTATGAATGCCAGTCTGCAGGTCATGGAATGCTGTGGACAGCCCAATCCAGAGTGCAAAAGTCTCCAGCAGCTGAGCGCCCCTTGCTTGCAGCTGCGAAGTTCTATCTGTGATCCCAGGCCTTCTTGATCTTGAACTGCAGGCCAAGATGCTGCCCAAAAGGGGCCATTGGCAGCCGCAGGCACGAGTGATTCTGTGTTCGAGGATCCGCATAGCAGTGTGTACCTTAAGGTTCTAAGAATCCTCCAGTGTCGTGGACCACTTGATTTTTCTCCAACCCGAAGCCACCGAGAAGAGGGCATGGGACGCTCAATGGAAAACTGTTTGGAATTACGAAGAGACCTGAAAGTCTGGGAAGTCCTGTCCCAAGCGAGATGTCTTGCTGCCTCTTGGTGTATCGTGGGGCCCGGAAGAATAAATTCGACTAACCGGTGAAGAGGACTGCGGACGCTGTCCCTTTTGCGAGACTAGCTGCCGAGCTGCTGTATAGCGAAGACGCGCAAGACACGCAAATCGCTCCCTTTGCGGAGCTGTGCCGTCCATTCTAAACGATTCGGAACGCGCTCGCACGCTTTCTAGCTTAAGTTTAATTCTCCACGAGTTTGACATGGCCTTCCTGATGCAACTGCCGATTCCATTGCTGTTCGGGAAGGCTGGCAACATGTCAATCGGAGGAGTGAGAGACGGCAAGCATCACGCGCCCCATGATCGAAATAGCTTCATGGAGGGGGCCGACTTGTAATGCAGTCTTCTCAAACGCGATGTTTTTCATGAGGGTGCAGTGCGGGATATCTGCAACTGCCACAATATTCGCTCGATTTCACGTGTTTGTTACTAGATCCTGCTAGCTTGTCAGTTGTGGCGATCATTTTGATGGCATCGTTGCTCCGAGCAGGTGAAGTCCCGCACTTTCTACGATGAGCTGCCATCGGCAACAAGAAACACAATCGAGCTGTGTGCTATGCTAAGCCTATGCGCAAGGTCGCGCTCGTGGTTTTGGTGCCGCATTCGTTGTTGGTCCCTCTGCAATCGGCGTCTGTTTCAAGATCCAGGTTTCCATGCTGATCCCAGCAAGCGGCCTTCTGCACAGGTTGCAGCCTCAGCTTTCGGCGCAAAGTGATATGGCGGGTTGTAAATGGCACACTAAACTCTGCAAGTGCCTCACCCTGCGTAAACCTCTTTTTGACCAGCACGAGTCTACAGTTAGTTGCAGCAAGCACTGGACACTTATGTAACATGATCTGCTACTCAGTCACTGCCGGTTCCATCATTCGCGTTGAACAATTTCGTTTTGGCGTGTTTCTGCGGGCTTTTCAGCTTGTTTGCGGGTTTTCAGGAGCTGCTGTTTGGCTTGGCCGCTCCACCAGAGTCTGCCGCGCATCTCAGAAAAGAACAGGGAAAAGGATGAAAGAAGAGTTAAAAGTTTGTTGCCTGGGCTCTTCATGTGGGTGTCTCTATGATAGCATACCGTCATTTTTTAGTTCGGGGTGCAGTGCCAAGTTTAGGCCCACAATTTGGATCACCCCCCTCCCCCGCCCCACCCACCCCCGCATCTCAATACGGTGCGCAAGGACCGAAGTGCTCCATGTATGGCCCTGAAAGCCTCTTTCCAGCCTCCAGGAAGAGCAACTTCCCGTGAGTTTTCTGCCCAGAGCTCAGTTGTAAGTTCAAGCTTCCCAGCTCGACCGAGCAACCTGTCAGAGTCCCAGGGAGTTCAAGAACTTGCTGTACGGCTCTGACGCGTCTGATGGACTCAAGTCGGGATCCACGGTGGGCGCCTTGAACCGTGCTTGACATGCTGGCGTGCTTTCGTCGAAGCAAAGATGACGTCCCAGCGGTGATGAACCGGTCAAGCAGGTCACAAGGCGTTCCTTGTCAGCGACTGCCCTATAAACCCTACTGGTAACCGGATGTGAGGGACCCTCTTGCCGAGGCGATCTCAGGCTCAAGTGGGAAGCGGGGCTCCTGGTCTTCTGTAACTCGGTAGAGAGCCGGCAGAAGCTGTGCCAAGCCATGCCAAGCCACACCAGCAGTGGGGGAGACCGCGGAGAGAGAACGCTGCACACGTCCCCGTGCACCCGCTTCCATGACATGTTCCCAAGGTCTCAGCAGGACTTGGACGCAGTGAATGCGGAAGTGGCAGAGGCCCTGTCAAAGGGGCTTTGAGAGGGGGGCTCTTTACAGTATTACATCTCTTCACGGAGTCTGTTCGGGAGTGTTTTTTTTTTCTCGGCGTTTCCAAAAAAGTTTCTTGAGTTCCTGGGCTCCCTTTCAGGAGCAAGCAGCGATTCCTTTGGTGAAGCCCCCGAGGCACATGCCCGGGACCAAGGGTCCAAGCTGCTTTGGCAAATCAGTCGAGCGGTCAACAGCTGTGAGTCCCACAAAGTTCCCCATGACCTTATGACATGATATCTGATATGGTTTGTAAACGCGAGTCTTTAGAAAGAGACCGCACATCTCGTGCGAAGACAAGCGTTGAGAACATGTAAGAAAATGTCATGTTCTCTTGGCACGTCTTTGCCCCCGGTCTCTGTTTTCTCAGGTCCTGGCCCTCCGGGCCACGGCCCGAGCTTCGGGAGAGCCCTTCACTTCCGGGAGACCGCGGCCACGTCCCAGAAAGCGAGAAGTCGTCTGAGAAGTCGGAGACCTCCAAGCAGAGACTTCAGCGCCCCTCTCGGGCCTTCAGCGCAGATGATGCCTCTTCCGACTGCCTGCCGCTGAAGCCCCCTTTGCTAGCGGCTCAGTGCGAAAAAGGGCAAGGCAGACGGAGTAACACAATGTAAACACACGCTGGTACGGCTGCACGGAATGGCCCCGCCCATTTTCACAGGCCTCCACCTCCACCGCAGCTCTGCGAGCAGCAGGCAAAGGCAAAGGCCAGTCCACCATGCCACTGAAACAATCTAAGAGGCTGAGGACAGCTTTTGTGAACACAGGTGCGACCGAATCCTCTGGACGATGTCACTGTGCCATCTGAGACGCGACCTCAGAAACTTCTCTTGAATATGCTTCAGTCAGCACTGTGTGGGCAAGACAGGGCGACTCGAATCTCATAAGAGATACCTTCTTCCAGGCCTCCCTCGGCCACTGTAGGGAAGGACATTTGTTTACGGACTTACGGACCAGGAATCGAAGATGCAGGATCCCAGCCTGGTGTGCGACTCCTTAAGAATCTTGGGGAGGCGCAGCATCAAAAACCCGCGTCCCCTCCCTTCAGCCGAAGCTCAATGAAGCTTCATTTGCCGAAAGCCTGCGAAGAAGAAACACAAAAGCGCTTACAGGTCAATCCCCCCACAAACCCTTCAGCCTTGAGTTGCACACTATTTAACCCAGTGCTGAAGATCTCACCCCCATTGGAACCTTGCCTAATTGCCGACCTGCATCATACTTTTGACGTGGACACCAGGCGAATATTGATGGAATTTGCACTCGGACCCCTGGAAAAATCAGGAATCAATGGGATCATCCTGTATTCAACTTCATAATGGTTACCTTGTTGCTTGCTTGCAAGCTTGTTGCATTTCACGCGCGTGCAGCGAGTGTATTGTGAAAACCCTGAACTTTATTATCAGAGACCCAACAGTTTTTGTTCAGCACCAGATACATGGTCAGCTTTCTCATTACAGCTCCATGCAGTTTGTCGAGCTGAAAAGTCAAGGTTTTCTTTTGAACGCCCCACGTCTGGCATGTCTGGCCAGAATCTGAATCTAGAGAACTGGGAACGAATCTGGCTTAAAGTTGGTGAGGCCTGGCCCAGTGCTATCTCCGCTCTCTCCGGGGCCCCCGCCCCCGCCGCCACCGCCGCTGCCACGAGAGAAAGCCCAAATTTCAGGGCCGGAGGCCATCATGCAAGTATGAATCTTATGGACATGCTATGACATGTCCTGACCTGTCCTGCCCACTGAATCATGTGATGACGCAGGCCAGCCCGCCACCGTCATGCAGCGCACCCTCCCGAAAGTCCCGACCACCGCCCGACTCACAGACCTACAAGTCGTACATGACTGCCATGGCACTTGGCGCTTGGAGTTTGTGAGCCCTGGTTGAGGTCTCCGCCGCGCCAGATGCCTGAAACGAGGCCAGAAGAAGCCTTACAGGCCAGCGAGAGCAGTATTCAAGTCGCGTAAGCAGTACCATCGAAACAGCCCAGGCGCATGTTAGTTGCCTGTTCCATCCCAGATGAGTTCAGACGTAGAGAGGGATAGAGCATGCTAAATATTCGCGAAGCCTTATATTCTTTTGCTGCTTTGTTCGACACGGCTTGGTTGTACGGCTCAAGAAGTGTGCGGCGCCCGATGGCTGCCAAACACAGCAATCCGGGCGGGCAGCCCGGGCACGGCAACCATCACACGGCCCCGGCCGTGCGTGGGACAAAGGGGCCCATGGTGGAAGCCACAAAGTCGAGCTCCGACCTTCACCATTCCATCTACTACTGGGTCTCTGTGAGACCCGGTGCTGCGCTTAGCTGGATTCTGACCTCAAAAGTGAAGGGAAGTAAAGTGGAGCAGCGACAGAGGTTCGGACAAAGCCCAAGCCTGCCCGAGACTCTGCGAGACGTTCTGAGGTCAGGAAATTGCGCATCTTGATCCTGTTTCGGTCGCTCTACGATGCGGCGTTCCTGTGTCTTGGCCATTCTTGCGATCCGATGCTGTACTGAAATCCCAGGTGTCTGTTCTTCCCTTCTTCCCTCCTCTTTCTTTCTTTCATGTTTCTCCTCGTAAATACTGTAGAGAGCATCCATTGCCGAGCGCACAGCGGCACAGGTAAAGGAGCTCTTCAGCTATTGGGAAAAGGAGGTGAACTGCGACATTGCCTGACCCTTGGACATGGTTCCAGAGACACTTGTGAAGGCTGCTCCTTGCTTTGCCCTGAAGGCGGTTAGAACACTTCCGCGGACACTGATGCTGCCATCTCAGCCAGATCAGACGCAGCTTTTTTTGGAGCACGCGCGGAGCAGACATGGTTGACAAGTTCATGGCGGATGGTGAATCGTACAAGCTGCCCAATGGTTCTGCCTAAACTCCTAAACATCCAGAAGTCTGATCTAGGTTTCCTTGTGCATTGGTTCGGTTTTTGCTTGTAAAGTCTGCTATTCGCCAAAAGGCTGATTGTCTGCTTTGCCGCCATGCTCTTGAACCACGAGGCGCATGTTACAAAGCTGGCCTGCCCTTTTTGATGCTTCAATGCGAGCTCCGAAAGCTCCTTCCAACAGCTCACTCGATGAATCTGTCAGACCGTGGCGGATAGACAAAGCGTGGAGCTGCTTATATCAACGAAGTAAAGGCTTCGGTTTTTGAAGAGTGGCAATCGCTTGCTGCAACGGTGTTGGCCCGATCCGCTGTCCACTAGTATCGCTAAGGAAGGCGATTCGCTTCGACATTGCTGCTGAGCTGAATCGCGATGCGTCAGCTGTTTGCATCTTCACATAAGTTCCCTTTCTTTGCTGCCTTAGTTCGCTTGCGTCCAACAGCCCTTGCGCTCAAGACTCCGGGGCCCGAGACTACTAATGTCCAACAGTCTGATGTCTGCACATCCTACCCTTGCACCGAGCACTCAGGAAGAAAATGCTAACTTCGCCTTTAATGGCATTGGAACTATGGGCCACAAGAATTACCAGGATGTGCCTCTGCGGCGGATTGGCATGGCATGCATTGCCTCAAACATGTCTCAGGCTCCTGAGACAGTCATTGCATGGCATTCACAAGTCACTCACGCAGGTCAATAGCTTCACAGACTTCTACTCCTGGCTTCGATTGGGCCGCTGCCTCAACTGGGGCATCTTTACCAAATGTCCCAATCATGTGGATTGATGTGGCAACTTAGGATTTGCTTCCATCTATTTACCCCAGAACAGCTCTGTCTCGGAAGGGTCCACCCTTTCCAGCGCAGCTTGGATTAAGATCGAACCCCTCCAAGGGGCTTTCACGACGACAGCCTTGTCTGTTCCGACTTGAGGAGAAGTTGAACAACGTTCAGAAGTCGGTCTCTGCTTATCTGAGTTTCAATCGTGTCTCGACTCGACTACAGAGCTCTTCGTCACCCTACATGTTCAACTCAATCTCTGCAGAAATACTGAATGCACTGGATTCACGAGGCAAGGTCGGCCCGGTGAAGTTGGTCCAAGAGGTGGCACAGGTCTATGCCCTAGAACCATCGTCGATCCTGGGGAGCGCGCGTGCTCGAGACGAAGTTGCGCACATCTGTGAACATAGTGTACTCTCTCTCTCTCACACATGTGTGTATATATACCTTAATACAATATATATATATATAGACATATTCTTTATATATATATGTACATGATTGTATGCTTTGTAATATTGATGAAAACGGGGAAATGAAAATGGCAAGTCTCAGGAAGGCCCATGTCGGAGCGTTTCATCAAGCGGTCGGACGTGTTATGCACCAGGCCGGACACCATTGTTGCAGATAGTAGTACTGTACCCAATTGAAGACCCTGCCAACAAAATGCCGCAAGGCTGTGCTTTGTTCGCCCTCCAACTGTGAGCCATGAATCGTCGTTCATACTCGTGTAGCGATATACGACGGCAAAGCCCACCTTGTAACACCATCTCAGAGACTTCTGAACTGCACGCAGCAGTGTCGCAGACTTCCAAGAGCGTCTTTATGGCACCTTCATGGGATCCCGGGTGACATCGCAGGTACAGACTTCGTGATCCATCCCACAGAGTTTGATGTAGCCGTCAGCCCGTTCGTTGAAGACACCAGCGGAAACGGCACAGAGTCTTGGCTGTCTTATCTGCCACGCCGACACTCACATCATTGTCACAGTAAATTGAGGTCTGGTTCTCTGTTCTGGAGGATTTGAACGAACAGGTAGATATGCTTGAGACGTCAAGATGGCTGCGTGCCAGTACTCGAAGATGGAAGGTGCCGGGCTGTGCTTGAGAGCAGTCTGCAAGTTTGAAAGTGTTCCATCGTAGTGGTCCAAGATCGATCTTTACACTTGTCACTTGTGCAGCTGTCCTTCGTTACGTACAACGCGGACTTTGACATCTTGACAGTTACGGACATCCACTTCGTTCTCTCACGTTCCGGACGTATTTGGAAAGAGCTTTCCTTCATGAGCCTCGTGCTCTCGCCCTATGGAAACCTTTGGGGTCTTATTTGGGAGATACTTTTCTTCGGGAGCATCACTACCATTTTCCTGGAAGAGCTCAAGGAGATTTTCGTGGGTCTGCGTCTCAGCCTTGCAGACTGCCAGCACAAGCCGGGTTTGCGGTGAGCTTGGTGCAACCATGTGCAGCCCGAGGAGTGTGTGCAAAGGGCACCGATGGAAAGCGCCGCTGCCGCTGTGGGTATTTTCTTATGGACTACTTCACAGTGTGGAATTTCGTGGATTGGTGCTCCATCATTATTGCCTATGCTCTTCTAGGCGGATCATTTGTGCGTGTGCGTGGGCTAGGAAGAAGTGTAAGTCGACTTCGTCTTGAATGTTGCTTCAGGTTGGTCGATGTCCCCGCAGTGTCATAGTACACTATTGAATACTGCTGCTTATTGCTTTGCACTTGCCGAGCAATCCTGAACAAGTTAGTCTTGTGCTCCCTTCGGAAAGGAGGGCCCCACGCCCTCCCATCCCCTTCCCCCCTTCCAGTAAGTCTTAGGGTTGACGGCATGGAGGGCCATTCTATTGGGTCTTGTTTTTTGTTTCGGAGTTTAGGAAGGAAGGCACACCATGCCATCAGGACTGCTCCAACCCTCATGCTTGTATGAATCATTATCGAAACGTGACGTGTGAGCATTTTTTTTTGCGGGGGGGGGGGGGGGGGGGGGGGGGGGTGTGGGGGCAACTCCCTGTGTTTCAAAGCCGTGCAAACGTTTTCTGTAGTTAAGAACGAAATGCGATCCCGGGTAGCCCAGCTGAATGCAGTCACACACAAGTTGCTTCAATACAAATATGCAATTTATACGCATAATGTGTACTTGCAATCCAAGCACAACTTAATGAGGCTTCAAGCAAAAACTCCAACAGTCCAATCATCAAGCATCCATTTTTTTCTGGGAGAAGCTCCGGGCAAATTTGTTTTTTGATTCGGGATTTGTGCACAGAAAAGCTTATGAATTGCAAGCACCTGGCACGGCAGGGACAGGCACACCGCAGGGTGTAGCGTGCGCATCGCAGACGGAAAGCCAAAGTCATAAGTTCCTCGTCATGCCCTCGGGCCGGGCGTCCCCCCCCCCCCCCCCCCATTTCAGGAGGTTCTCAGGGCCTCCCCCCCCCCCGCTGTAGGATCCTGTACCTTCTGCGGGGTCTTACAGGAGCAAGGGGTGGGCTGGGTTGGAAGGGTGGTGCCACCATGCATCAACCCCGCCGAATGGCAGCGACCCTTTCCCGGCGCGTTCTGGACCGACTGTGGCGGCTGCTGGTGCTGAGTCATCCCTGAGTATGCTCAGTGTTGGAGCAACTGCCGGTTGACAGGCGTTCTTTCATCTGTTGGGTCTTGACCGGTGTGCCGGCTGGCGGAGGCGGTGGGTCTCAAGAGGCGGCGGAAGTGCTGCAGCTGGGTCTGCGGGGGCCGGTGGGGTGATAAGGGGGAGAAGGGGTCTTAGCTGCTAGTTTTGCTTGCCCAGGAAGAGCTTCCTAAAGTCCTAAAGCCGGCCTTTATGTCGCCCAGGGGTGCGTGGTGTATCTAGGGTATGTGGGGTATGTCATGTATGTAGGGCACGTATGTAGGTGTATAGGGATTGTAGGGTACACCGCGTATATGAGATATATAGTGTAATATTGCGTGTGTGAATCAACAAGAAGGTCAAAAGGAAAAGAAGAAGAGGAGTGGGAGAGAGAAAGGGGCGTAAAGAAGAGGAAGGAATAAGCAGAGAGGCTGGTATCATCAGGCAAAGAGAGATGGATACGTAGTGTATACTGCGTGTGTAAATCAACAAGAAGGCCAGATGGAAAAGAAGAAGAGGAATTGGAGGAATTGGAGGAAGAAGAAGGGGGGGTGGGAACGTCGAGAAGAAAAATGGGAGGGGTGGAGGAGGGAAATGGGGTCTTAGCCACTCATTTTGCTTGTGTTGGAATAGCGCCTAAGCTGGCCTTTATGTCGCCTATTGTCGCCTACAATCTCGGCCAGCT